AGGCGCCCCGCAGCCGCCTCACGGGGCCGTCCTCCCCCCACACACACACTTCGGGCGGGTCTCTCCCGCAGCCCTTCCCTCAGCTTTCCGCGGAGCTTTCGGCGGAGCTTAGCGGCGAGGGTGGGGTCGGAGCGGCGTTTCGCGTGTCGGGGCGGTTGATGCACATGGGGCGGCTGAGGCAGGGCCCCGGGACATCCCAGCGAGACGGCGGCGAGGCTGGAGAATTGGGAAAAGGAAAATAGTTGCTTTCACGTGTGCCTAAGCGAGAAAAAAAAAAAAAATCCCAACCACACAACAAAACCCTACGATTCTGACAAAATATCCGTGTGACACTGAGTGATGTAAGTGGGGTACAGAAAAAGAACCACCGGAGGATCCTGTCTCTCTTCCTCCAGCTGAGCATGCTTTAAACAAAATAAACGGCTGTAAAGTCATAAATTTGCCTTTTTCAAGAAGCTAAAATAAGATCTGCGCAGCCTTTGTAAGAGGTGTGTCACAGTCATTTGATTATCAGTAGTTTTATTATCTATGAGAGTATGTGGTGATAGTTTTGCCTTGAAGATCACAGTGTAGTAGCTAGATACTGACAGATAGGTGTGTGCACAGATAATCCCGTACATATTCACAGGTATCTCGTCTGTGTTTCAAATCTGAAAATAATGCATAAGGTGCTCATCCCTGAGAATTCAGAGTACCGTCAGTAGGTGTCACTGTCACTTACTAGTCTGCAACCTGACTTCTTTTATAGGACTTTATTTGCTTCAAATGAAATTAACGCTAGCTTATGCAGTGCAGAATAGGTGGTTTGCTCTGCCAGATCTCATCCACTTCTGTGAACAGCAGTTTTGATTTTTTTTATTTGCAGATCACTTACTGTCACCTGAATTCTGAACGCAGGGCATCATCGCTCTGAGTTCTTTTGAAAATCATATCATTAGCTCCGGAGATGTTGGCAAGCTGTGTGCATCGTTATACTGAAAAGATTAATATTTTTGTGTTACGCTGCAGAATGATCAGGTTCTGTCAAAAAAATTGAATTACCTCTTCATACTTTAAATAAATCACTGTTTATATAAATAAGGTAGTGTTTCATAATTTTGACTCTTCTAGAAATTGGAATCTCCAAAGAAGAGGCTCTGGAAGCATTACAGGTTGTGAGGCAGGAATGTCACGGGGATGCAGTAAGCACTGCTGGGGTGTCAGGTGCCACCAGAAAGTGCACAGCGCTGGAACTTCTGGAAGAAGAGCAAGCCCAGGGCTTCATCATCACCTTTTGTTCAGCACTAGACAATATCCTGGGAGGTGGTGTGCAGCTAACAAAAATCACCGAGATCTGTGGAGCGCCCGGTGTTGGGAAAACACAGCTGTGGTATTTTATTTTTAGATTACTTTTGTGCAACTGAGAATCACTTTTCTTTGTTTAGTTTAACTATGAAGAGGGTTCATTTTTCTTGTTGTCATTACTTCAATCTCTGATTCTTACACAGCATTATAAATATGATAATGGCTCTCCTGCTTCCTGTTCCATGTATTCCTCAGCAGAAACATCTCTTTAGGAGTGAGCTGGGAGGGGAGAGTTTTGCGATGTAAATATTTCTCTTTTTTTCTCTTTCCCACGGCAGTATGCAGTTGGCAGTAGACGTACAGATACCAGAATGCTTTGGGGGCGTAGCTGGAGAAGCCGTGTTCATTGATACTGAAGGAAGTTTTATGGTAGACAGAGTAGTGGATATTGCAACTGCCTGTGTGCAGCATTGCCAGCTTATTGCTGAAGCTCATCAAGAAGAAGGTATGTTGCTAAGTCATTTCTTTCTGCCTAGTAGGCTAGGATCTGAGGGAAACTAAGTCTCATAGGCTGTGGGTTTACAGTTTGAGGGTCTCAGCACCAGTACTGGCTTAAGGAGTTCTTGCTGCCAGCCTTTCATTTCCACCTGTATGTATCATACCGTGAACTGCATCAGTGTGTGGACCCATGCTGCAGACTGAGCTCATCTACTTTAATAATAATTCTTTTTCTACATGGTGATTTGCAGATTTTTTTAGGTACGTGGGGTTTGGGGCTTTGTCTTTTCTTTCTTTTTTTTTTTTTAACACAAGTCACTTTAATTATCAAATGTACAGCAAAACCCAAACACAACTCTGTCAGCAAAACTGAGGGATAATGTGCTGCAACACAGGGGCAGGAAGAGCAGCTGGGGAAAGAGAAAAGGAATGGCAGAATTTCTTAAGACAATGTTGCTGCTGAAGTCCCATTTTGTAAAACTGCAGCTGGAATTCAGCTCCTTCATAAAGTCAATATAGCCAGGTTGCATTTAATGAAGAGTTTTATTCTATGTCATCAGTGTGTTGGGGATACTGACACAACTTTTTTGTTACTCTTAGAGTATTTTATCCAGCAAACTTCTGTTTGAACAGCTGTAGAAGGACAGCATATTAAATGAGCTACTGCCTGTACATTAAACAATGGATGATTAATAGTCACTGTAGTCCTCTGGTGGTGTTCTGGCTTGAAAATGATTTACTGGAAAAGTTCTTTTTTTAAAAATAAATTTTTCATTTTTGGAGCACTCCCTTGGAGGCTCCAGTGTATCTCAGTGCAAATGCTGAGATAGCATCTGCTCACCACCTTCTTGACTTTCAAGCCAGATGGAAGGTATGTTTCCCACACTCTTTACCTTGACTGTTCCTGGTTCTGGGGGTTTTGCTGTTGCTATATGTAGAAAGCATAGTTTGGTAGAGTGATGAAAGTAGCAATATGCTGGCACAGACTTCTGACTCATTTTACTCATCTATTTATTTGTTCTCAGATCATCTGAAAGCTTTGGAGACTTTCTCTCTTGAAAGTATCCTTTCTCACATATATTACTTCCGTTGCCGTGACTACATAGAGCTGCTTGCACAGGTCTACCTCCTCCCAGACTTTCTTTCGGAGCATTCAAAGGTAAGGGTTACTGCAGACTTACCAGAAGATATGACTCATCTTCACAGGAAAGATTTTCAAGGATACTAATCTGGTATAATGAGTAACATGCGTAACACCTTAGTACCTTATCAGCTTGCCAGCAATATATTGACTGATGCTAGAGTACAAATGTAAAACTTGCATGCTTGTTAGCTTTTTCATTCCCATCCCAATTACTCTTGAGAGTAATTTGCTTTTGCTCCCACTGCTGCCATCATCTTGGATCTCCACTTTCAGGTGAGGGTACTGGATCACGTGTTGTTACATTTCTATGAGCGCTGGGTTATGAATCATCACACAACTGCTTTACAAAACAGTCTCTGAGCCAGGTGTGCGTGTGGTGACCATGATGCAGGGGGATCAGAAAGGCTTAGTGCCATTTTTTTTGTGCTAGAAGATCACTGAAGACGGGAAGCATCCTGCACCATCTTGGTATCCAGAAAGTGACTCTTCTCCTTCTTTCTAATACATCTTCTGTTGCTACAAGCAACCAGAGCCTGCAGCTTCAGTCTTGGGTGGACTACAGCCAAAAGGTTTCCTAGTACCTAGTGTCTTAGTGAAATGCTATTGTAAGGCAGATTTTCACCACCTCCCTTCCAGACTTGTAGATTCTGCACAGCAGATCACTCCCTAACAAGATTCAGGGAAGATGGCTTGTGCCTCATTCTAACAGAGTACAAATCCGTGTTGTTTAGTTAGATTGTCTTTTGCATATCATTTCCATTTTTGGAAGCTGTTATGTTCTTGAAAGCGCAGATGGGAGTCTTACTTTTGCTTAGTGTAGTCTGGTATTTCCCTTTCTCTGCCAGGTACTAACGGTGCCCTGTTGTGTTTGCTCTTGTGGAAAGTACATGGCTTCATTAGCACAGTTACACTGGGCTGCAGTTCTCTGGTACCATCTGTGCTGATTATCTGTGCTTGGCCTGGAGCCTGAAATACTGAAGGTTGCAGGAGAACCGTAAGACCTTCT